AAAAAAAAAAAAAAAAAAAAATGAAATCCCAAACTCTTCAAATATTTATTTTATTTCATTAAACTAAAACGAACCGAATCATGTCAATAAGACAACTCATAATAACATTTTACGTACTTACTTGAAGATTGTGATTTACAGCATTCGAATCGTCAGGATCGCCTAATAGCTTTTGTTTCAAGTGTAATAGCTTTTGAATCTGAGAAAGATTACTGAACTGACTTTCATACAATCCTTCATGGCTGATAAACTGGCTGCTGCTGGCCTGAAAGTCTCCGAGAGGGCTATTTCTGGACCGGTAAGAGGTTGTGAAGCTGTTTTCATGGAAATAATCAGACTGGGATAAGCCCAAATAGTGTTCATCAGCTGGATAGAAAGATGAAGTTGCTGCTGGTGGTGGTGACCCAATCCTACTTGTGATTGTGCTGGATAAGTTATCAGGCATGGAATTTTGAAGCTGGGAGTGAATAATTGGTTTTCCTTGTGATTGGTATTGTAATCCTGTTTGTTGGTGGTGATTAGCATAAGGTTGATGATCATCTGGGAATTGTGAAGAGGGCTCATTTGCAAATCCATAATTTTTTTGAATGCTTTTCATGTTTTCTTTTTGAAGAAAATGATTAAAAAAAGAGAGAGAATAAAAGTAATGTTATTACTTATTAGGTGAGAAATAGTGGTAATGTGTGATATCAACAATTAGTAAATGTCATGAAATTCTTTTGTTCTCCATTTTTTTTTTTTTTTTTTTTTNNNTTGTTTTCTAAATATGATGCAAATTAATCTTGAAACAGAAGCATGAATCTGTCAACAATTGAAGGCTGGAATTAATTATTCCTTAAGTGGATAGGATTGAATGAATGATCATCACTTGACACTTCCCACGTTTACATGTTGTATGATTCTCAACTTTTTTTTTCCCATAATTTAGGAAGAGATTTATTATTATTTTTTCTTTTTTTGGCATATGTAAATTATTAATTCAAAATTGAAAGGACTTGATTTTTCTTGTGTTATGAAATAACAAAAGAAGTCAAAAACACTAAAAGAAGAAAATAACAATTAATTAATAAGGAATATAAACATATTTTAAAAAAAAAAAAAAAAAAAAAAAAAGAAAAAAAGAAAAAAGAAAAGAAAAAAAAAATAGATAAATACTAATGGAACCAGCTACAGCCCTAAGATTCTGTATGAAGTAGAGAACAAAAAGCTCTATAGGGACATGTAGAAATTCATATTTTACACTTCGAATTTTATTCAGCTCAAGATGAAATTAATTTGTTCACCGAGGAGGACACTATTGATCCTCCTTTTCTTGAAAAGAAAAATGGTTGATGCGTTTTGCACCTCAAGATTGACCTTCTTGCTTTTACACGATCAAGCTTCAACAATGTACGATTAATCGGCCTAAAGAAATAAACATTTGTGTTACAAATAATATTTATACTCATGAAATCAAATTAAATTAATAGAAGCATATATTTATTTTGCAAGTGTTGGTAAGTTCAATGCATGCAGAGCTAAAGAAGCTTATATAGATTTAGTAGTTTGCATTTTGCTATTTATTATAAATTTAATTGGCACTGATTCTACTAGTTAAAGCAGCAGCTAATAGTACAATTGGTTATTCATGCACCATCAGCTAATACAATCAACTATGTACTAAAAGCTTTCTAGATTGATTAAAACTTACAATGCTATTTATAGTTTCCCAAAACAATACAACATTAATTATTCACATCTCCTACCACAATTAAATATCATATTTAAAAAAAAAAATCATTTTTAAAAATAAATTCCATTGTACAAATAGTGATTTTTGAAGAATAAAATGTATAAATGGTGCATAAAATTTAATGTGAGAAGAATAAGCATGGGAATAATGTAGTCATCAATCTATTTTCCTAACTCATTACAAGATTCAAAAGTTTCAATTTCTTTTCTTCTGAGATATGTTTGTATGGATAGAAATTTGACACAATTATAGGGGGAAAAGAGAATTAGATGCTTTATCATTGAATTTCAAGTACAAAAATTGCCCTTCATTAGTAACTTCGTTTAGTGAAGCATTTTAGTTATTTATTTTTTTATTGATTTAATTAGGTTCGTTTGCTCCTGGATAAAAAAATAAATAAATAAATAAATTATTAAAATCGATAGATTGTTGTAAAATTGACAAATAATTAACATCTAATTGTTTACAATACTTATAAATGCTCAACTCGACTTAATTCAATTTCACAGAATTAAAAGCAAAGATCAACATTTTTTTTTTTTAAGATCAACATTTTTTAATATAACGCTTTTTTTTCTGTAAGCTAAAAACTAAATGAAGAATCAAACATTGTCTCTCTTCCATATTTTTATTATTTGCAAACACTATTAAGTGTTAACTGTGTAAACCCTCCTGTTTAAATAGATGAAAATGTATTCCATGTATATATTAGTATCATATTTATACTTATATACCATAATATAAATATGAATAATTTGTTAGAAAGTGAAATTGATTAAGCACTCTAAGTCTAACACCAACTCAGTAATGCTCACCTACCCACGGTGGGCACATTTTAATATGTCCACAGCTTATGTGGCACTCATGTAAGCACTCATACATTGGTGATGTATTTTTCACATTAACATCACCAATGTGTGCATGCCACATAAGCGGTGGACCTATTAACATGTGCCTACTGTGGCTAGGTGAGCATTATCCAACAGCAACTATGATATTTTTTTTTTTTTCAATTACTATTATTCTTATTTTTCATTTATGTTTCAGGGCTATTTTATCCCACATATCATGGATGTCCTAACAGGCCCCACTATAACGTTATCTCCTTGGATGTGCTTTAATTATGCACGAGCTCATATTGTACATTTATTTTCTTGGGGACTCGGTATTATAACAAAGTATGATCAAAAGGCCCGAAATATAAGGCCTAATGTTTTTGCACCATAAACCTGGGGCTAGGGCTGTTCAATCGGTCAAAACCGAACCGAACCGACCGAAATTTCGGTTAACGTAACCGAAATTTCGGTTTACCCAACCTTCAAACCGAAAACCGAACCGAAATTTATGGTTCGGTTCGGTTTTTAACCGAAAATTTATCGGTCGGATCGGTTCAATTATCGGTTATCCGATAAAAGAGAGAAAAAAAAAAAAAAAAAAAAAAACTTTAGTTACACTTTCGGCAGAATTTCAGCAAATTGCAACTCTAGTTTCAACAAATCGCAGTCGTAATTAACAGAACAAATAAAATTCAATAATCATGAGGTAAAAGATGAAAGAGAGAAAACGATTTCAGCCTTGAGAGCATGAATCGGTTGAATCAACTGCAGCCTGTAGAATGGAATTTTGCTGGTAAACTTATTAGAGAAGATGAACGTTGTCGAGTGCCGAGTGGAGTGTGTGCGGGAGAGGGAGTGCGGCGGCGATTTGGGATTTCAGAGCACCAAGCGGCGATCGAAGAATTGGAGTGCGAGATTGCGTGTGGTGGAGATGATGTTAGGGTTTAGTAGTTTTCTGTTTTTCGTTTAAAACTTAGGATTTGTGGTTTAGATTTTGGAGAATGAAGATGATAAAAATTTGGAGAAGAAGATGACAGATGAGTTGAATGGGGCGGATGAGCCGAGCAAATATAAATTGGCTCATATAATTTTCTCTTATTATAATTGGTAATTTAGGGAAGAATTGGGTTGGGCCTGCTTGTGCCACTCTTTATTTCATTACTTTTTTAGATAATGGGCCTAAAATGTAACAACATGGACTTGGGTAATAAATGACTTTTATAACTTATTTGTATAGTATCGGTTTTCGGTTCGGTTCGGTTAACCGAACATTTATATCAAAATCGAACAGAAAACCGAAATTTATAAAAATGCAAACCGAAAACCGAACCAAAAATTCAATTTCGGTTTCGGGTTCAAACTAAAATTTCGGTTTCAGTCGGTTAACCAAATTTTGTGCACCCCTACCTGTGGGTAGGTGCATAACACGAAGAATAAAGATGCCATGTAAAAGTATAAATTATATGATTGCAATGGTGGCAAAGTTGGAAATATTCTTTTACATGGCATCTTTTTAAAATTTTAATTTTGTTGAGCAGACTAGCCACAGGCATTTTTATATATAGTCAAGAATTTCTTAAATTATATCATATAATTAATTACCCAATAATCATTGTTTGCATATTATTAACAAATTGAATAAATACAACATATAATTACCAAGGTACGATTGATGTTTGTTGTTTGTTATACCTGACCTTGAGGTCGTCCATCTCGGAGTAAGGCGCCTCAATCAGAATTTTCGGGTCGCGTGAATGAGATGAAATAATCTCACGCAACCGACGAAATAATGAGCGTGAATGTACGAATTTCGATCGGTAAGCTCGAATAAAACAATCTATTCCAAGAACAGAACTCACTCGAATCACTGACGGAAATTGTCTAATCTGAGCTAGGGGTTCGTGAATTTTTTTTCCCCCGATCTGCGGGATTCCCAGCTTTGAGCCGAAGGAGGTGTGAGATTGTTTTGTTGAATTACCAATGTGCCCATCAATGTAATTGCGTATTAATTGCCGCCCTTTGCTTGATGTCGTCTGATTGTATTGATCGAGCGTACCTTATTTATTCTAGAGTTAGATTTTGAGTATGAATTAATTTAGTCGGAGATTTTTTCGTTTACAAGATTAGTTTACTCACTAGTTTCTATTAACGAAAATGAGAACAAAAAAAATCTGTTTTTAATTATGCCATAAGAATATTCTAGAATTCATTTGAAGCTTAATTAACAGCTGTTTAAATTATTAGCCGTCAGGTGTTACGAATTCAACGGCACATCAGTTAATTATTTGTTATTTAATACCGCAGAAGACGCCTCGAATTCCACAAAAATTCAGTTTTTAGTCCATCTCTGCAACTCCACACGAATGCAGAGGCTTTTTAATACGACGACCGCTTTCGGCAATTTGCTCCCCGCCGATCGGCAACTTTTCCTCAATAACATCAACTTATTGTTGTTTGATGCCAATTATAAGATCAGAATTGCTTTTAACGATGGCAATTTCGTTTCTATTCCAACCGAGTATAGGAGCTTACCCAACTTTAACGTCTTTGCTCTAGTAAATCTAGAAGAAGAAATATTGTTAGCTGATTTTGCAAATGCAGATCTGGATGACAAAAACTACAGGAAAGTGTTGGGTAAGATTTTTCACGATTCTATTTGTTTTGTTAGCGTGTATTATGAATTTAATTGTTGATTTGAATGTATTTTTTCAGAGTTCCATGCAGCAACTGATACTTTTACCTTGTTTGCTGAGGAATAGGCGGAGCGGGAAGTGGAGCCAAGGTAAAATTATCGGTTGCTGCATCGAACTCTAAAAAAAATACATTCAAATCAATAATTAAATTCATAATACACGCTAACAAAACAAATAGAATCAT